TGGGGATGTTTATCTTTTTATTTTCCATATTGTTCCTAGTTTGCATAAATCTTCTTCATATACCACAAACACCAGAAGAGCTTTTGATCTGAGTATTTTTCATGTTGGAGCTGTTTTACTGACACGTTTTACTCGTTACAGCCTGATTCAGGTGGAAACCTTCTAATATCGGCCTAAACGTGGAACAGCCATTGGGGGTCTGAACCGGCTGTGTTTCTGTGAGGATGTGGCTCAGTCTGAGGTTCTTTTTTGTCTTCTTTTGGTCAGTTTGTTTGTTTTCCTGGTTTTGCTCAGTATTTTGGTGATTTTCTATCTAATTCTGGGAGTTTTGAGTCCATTTCTGAACCGTTTTCTCCTCTCTTGCTCCTCATTTTGTGTCCATTCCTGAAGTTTTGTGTCTGTTTCTGACCCTTTTCGGGTCTCTAGCTGGACTTATTGTGTCCGTTTCGTCTCGTCCTGCAGCCTCAGATGGACTTTGTGTCTCTGGTCTCAGACCTGTTGTGGACTAACGGTTTTCCTGGAGGACTTTAGCTGGAGCCTTTAGACCCAACAGGAGCTTTTATTTGGACTTTTCCGCCGTTTTCTGTGTTTGGCATCAGCTCTGACTGGACCCTGATATGGTCACATCATTCTATTTGAGGATCTTTAGAGTATTAATGATGAGGGGGGGCTGACTAACACCTGGAATCCTCTCCTTTGCAGCCAGATGTTCACAGCTGGGGGAAACTTACGAAGTTAGCAGCGTCCATGATTCCGTCCTCCACCGGGTGGGTGCAGTCCAGGGTGAACTTCAGGAGCTGCTTCTTCTTCTTCCCACCTTTGCCGGTGTTCTGCTTCTTCTGCTGCACAAACACAACCAGAATAAAGCCCAGCTCTGAAACACAGGCTAGCATAAACACGGCTAAACTCCCGCAAACCGCCCTGAGAGTCCCCGGTTTGGGGCCATGGCGGGTCTGGGGAGACTTTAACCAAAGAAACACGCTAACTGGGCTTAGTTTCGGCCCGGTACTGAACCGGGAACCACATAAAAACACCGACTAGGGTCTGAACCGGAGCCCGGACCGCTCCGCAACGTGGTGGCATAGCGGCTAAGCTAGCGCTAGCTAACGGGCCCCGGGGCTCACACGGCCCCAAACAGGCTCCAGAACCGGGCCCGGACCCCCCCTTTCCCCCGGTTCCGGTCCCGGACCCTCCCGGAGCCCCCACCCCGCCTCTGGTCCGTCTCTACGCGGGTTTAAATGAGCTTTGGCCGCCCTTCGGGGCCGCGGTTCCACTTACAATAGGCGCCATGGCGGAGAAGCTAGCAGAAAGGAAGGGACGGCCGTGCGCATGCGCGAAGACTCACAGGCCCAACTGTCGATCAGCGACTCCATCTGGGATCGATTCACCGGATCGATTCAGGCAGAAAACAGGGGTCCAAAACAGCCGAAAGACCCCGGAACTGAACCAACAGCAAGTCTCACTCAAGATATGTGGTACAACCCCAAATGTAATGATAAACAATTGTATATATATATATATATATATATATATATATATATATATATAATATGTTTCTGTATTTAGACGCTTTATCCAAGGCAGAGCCAGTGTTCCAGTTCTCATCTGTCTGACAATCAGCTACACACACACATATATGTGTATATCTCTCTCTCTCTCTTTATATATATATATACATACACACACACACATATATGTGTATATCTCTCTCTCTATATATATATATATATATATACACACACACACACAAACACACCCAGACAAACATTTCTCAAAGGAACAGGAACCAGGATTCGTTTCAGTAAGAACATTTTTATTCCAGTGCTGTGGATAAATCCGTCTGGAGGCTGTTTCCAGTCCGTCTGCTACATGTGTCGGTGGGAGATAATAAATACATCTGAATGTTTTACGTTTAAGATGAAAACAACAATAGTTATTTAGTTAGACTCATAAAAAACCCGTCCAGTTCTGAGCTGCTGGCCGCCGTCCTCTGGCCTCTGATTGGTCGGATCCTGGCCCCAAAGCGGGCTGGACCCGGTCGGGTTCTGGTTCATGCAGATAAGCACCGTTTGGACCCGATCCCATCGGTACCGCCGGCTCTGGACCTGGCCTCCGGACCCAGTTCAGTCCTGGTCTTTGGCTCTGGACCTGGCCTCGGCTTAGTCCGGGTCCCAGCTCTGGGCCCGGTCCCGGACCCAGTTCAGTCCTGGTCCTGAATCTGGACCTGGCCTCCGGCCTCGAGTCTTAGAAAGCTAACAGAGGAGCAGAATCTCTGAGGAACATGCGACCCTAAAACCTAACGACCCGGTCACAGAGTTCTGAGTTCTGGCGTTTGGAACCGGTTCTGAGCAGATCCAGAACCATTAGGAGGCGGACCAGGGGGGTCCCAGGGAACAGGCCTCTGTGGGACCAGGACTCTCGGAACAGGTCGGCCAAGCTGTAGATGGGTCAGAGTCCTCAACCTGGACCTGGATCCGACCTGGAGCTGGACCTGCTCGGGCCTGGATCTGGATCTTAACCTAAAGCTGGACCTGGGCCAGGTCTGGACCTGGACCCGGGCCTGGACCTGGATCTGCACCTGGACCCGGACCCTGGTAGCTGGACCTGCTCAGGCCTGGATCTGGATCTTAACCTAAAGCTGGACCTGGGCCCGGTCTGGACCTGGACCCGGGCCTGGACCTGGATCTGCACCTGGACCCAGACCCTGGTGGCTGGACCTGCTCGGGCCTGGATCTGGACCTTAACCTAAAGCTGGACCGGCTCAGGCCTGGACCCGGTCTGGACCTGGGCCCGACCTGGATCCTGGACCTGGACCCTGGACCCTGACCCGGTCTGGACCCGGCCCGGGCCTAGTTGACCCGGATCCCGGAGATGAAGGGCAGGCCGGTGGGGACCCTCCTCTTGTACTCCACGTAGTCCTCGGCGAAGAAGTGGACCAGAGACAGCTCCTCCTCCTCGATCCGCTCCCGGAAAAACCGCCAACTGGCCACGGTGTAGCCCAGAACACACACGGGGTTACACAGCAGCACCTGGG